TGCTAAAAATTGGCCATTAGGAATAAACATTCTAATAAGAATCCGATTTTTGGGGGGAATAAGTGAACCGATTTCCAGTGATTATCATGGAAGCCACACATTCATCATGAAGATTAGCATCTCTGAATGAATTCAATTACAAGGTAATTCAATATGTTATATCACCTACTGAACATGCTGTCTATAACAGTCTTTTCATTTATTTAATTTATTCGAAATATAAATATTATAGGTAGGTTATAAATTGCGCAGAATTAGATCTATTTTTGTTTTGCTTGTTTGCCAATAAAATATGTTGTAAGGTTTTTAACCCCTTAAGAACCAAACGTCTGGAATAAAAGGGAATCATGACATGTCACACATGTTATGTGTCCTTAAGGGGTTACAGTTCCCCAGTTTGTTTTTTTTAAAGCGATTTGAAACTAGACAATAATTAATTGTCTCAATAGATGCTTTGTTGATTAGACAAATGCAGCTTCATTTATTATTATATTCCATATACAAAGTAATACAGACTGTTATAGCATTATAGCATACACTTTGTTTTATTCCTTATATTTCCCATATCTCTGCTGACAGACTGGGGTTCAATAAGCATTAAAACCAAATAAGCACATTGTAATATAGAGAGCATGACGGACGGTGTAACAGACACATTGTAATATAGAGAGCATGACGGACGGTGTAACAGACACATTGTAATATAGAGAGCATGACGGACGGTGTAAAAGGCACATTGTAATATAGAGAGCATGACGGACGGTGTAACAGACACATTGTAATATAGAGAGCATGACGGACGGTGTAACAGACACATTGTAATATAGAGAGCATGACGGACGGTGTAACAGACACATTGTAATATAGAGAGCATGACGGACGGTGTAACAGGCACATTGTAATATAGAGAGCATGAAGGACGGTGTAACAGATACATTGTAATATAGAGAGCATGACGGACGGTGTAACAGGCACATTGTAATATAGAGAGCATGACGGACGGTGTAACAGACACATTGTAATATAGAGAGCATGACGGACGGTGTAACAGGCACATTGTAATATAGAGAGCATGACGGACGGTGTTGTAACGGACGGTGTAACAGACACATTGTAATATAGAGAGCATGACGGACGGTGTAAAAGGCACATTGTAATATAGAGAGCATGACGGACGGTGTAACAGACACATTGTAATATAGAGAGCATGACGGACGGTGTAACAGGCACATTGTAATATATAGAGCAGGACGGACGGTGTAACAGGCACATTGTAATATAGAGAGCATGACGGACGGTGTAACAGGCACATTGTGATATAGAGAGCATGACGGACGGTGTAACAGACACATTGTAATATAGAGAGCATGACGGACGGAGTAACAGACACATTGTAATATAGAGAGCATGACGGACGGTGTAACAGACACATTGTAATATAGAGAGCATGACGGAGTAACAGACACATTGTAATATAGAGAGCATGACGGTGTAACAGACACATTGTAATATAGAGAGCATGACGGACGGTGTAACAGACACATTGTAATATAGAGAGCACGACGGACGGTGTAATAGACACATTGTAATATAGAGAGCATGACGGAGTAACAGACACATTGTAATATAGAGAGCATGACGGACGGTGTCACAGACACATTGTAATATAGAGAGCATGACGGACGGTGTAACAGACACATTGTAATATAGAGAGCATGACGGACGGTGTAACAGACACATTGTAATATAGGAGAGCATGACGGACGGTGTAACAGACATCATTGTAATATAGAGAGCATGACGGACGGTGTACCAGACACATTGTAATATAGAGAGCATGACGGTGTAACAGACACATTGTAATGTAGATAGCATGACGGTGTAACAGACACATTGTAATATAGAGAGCATGACGGACGGTGTAACAGGCATATTGTAATATAGAGAGCATGACAGACAGTGTAACAGACACATTGTAATATAGAGAGCATGACGGACGGTGTAACAGACACATTGTAATATAGAAAGCATGACGGACGGTGTAACAGACACATTGTAATTAGTGATGCACCGAACGGTTCGCTGGCGAATAGTTCCTGGCGAACATAGCATGTTCGCGTTCGCCACGGCGGGCGAACATATGCGCGTTTCGATCCGCCCCCTATTTGTCATCATTGAGTAAACTTTGACCCTGTACCTCACAGTCAGCAGACACATTCCAGCCAATTAGCAGCACACCCTCCCTAGCAGACCCTCTCACCTACTGGACAGCATCCATTTTACATTCATTCTCAAGCTGCATGCTTAGTGAGGTGAGGGAAAGTGTAGCTGCTGTTGATTAGATAGGGAAATGCATAGCTAGGTTAGGGTATACAGTGTCCACTACAGTCCTGAAGGACTCATCTGATCTCCGCTGTAAGGACAGCACCCCAAAAAGCCCTTTTTAGGGCTGGAACATCAGTCTTTTTTTTTTTTTCTATGTAATGTAATTGCAGTTGCCTGCCTTCCAGCTTCTGTGTCAGGCTCACAGTGGATACTGTGCCCAGTGCCACCACTCACTCACTGGTGTCACAATAGCTTGCATTTAAAAAAAATATTTTTTTTTTCACTATAATAGATTGAATAGCAGTTAGTTGTCTGCCATCTTCTATGTCAGGCTCACAGTGGATACTGTGCCCAGTGCCACCACTCACTCACTGGTGTCACAACAGCGTACATTTAAAAACCAAAAATCTTTTTTCACTGTTATAGATTGAATAGCAGTTAGTTGTCTCAAAGCAGGTGTGTCAGCCCTACAGCGTGTACTCTGCCAGTTTACAGTGCCACTCATATCTGGTGTCACAATAGCTTGCATTTAAAAACAAAAAACTTTTTCACTGTTATAGATTGAATAGCAGTCAGTGTCCTTAAAGCGGGTGTGTCAGGCTCACAGTGGATACTGTGCCCAGTGCCACCACTCACTCACTGGTGTCACAATAGCTTGCATTTAAAACCAAAAAACTTTTTTCACTGTTATAGATTGAATAGCAGTTAGTTGTCTGCCAGCGTCTGTTTCAGGCTCACAGTGGATACTGTGCCCAGTGCCACCACTCACTCACTGGTGTCACAATAGCTTGCATTTAAAACCAAAAAACTTTTTTCACTGTTATAGATTGAATAGCAGTTAGTTGTCTCAAAGCGGGTGTGTCAGCCCTACAGCGTGTACTCTGCCAGTTCACAGTGCCACTCATATCTGGTGTCACAATAGCTTGCATTTAAAAACAAAAAACTTTTTTCATTGTTATAGATTGAATAGCAGTTAGTTGTCTCAAAGTGGGTGTGTCAGCCCTACAGCGTGTACTCTGCCAGTTTACAGTGCCACTCATATCTGGTGTCACAATAGCGTGAATTTAAAACACCAAAAACTTTTTTCACTGTTATAGATTGAATAGCAGTTAGTTGTCTGCCAGCGGGTGTGTCAGGCTCACAGTGGATACTGTGCCCAGTGCCACCACTCACTCACTAGTGTCACAATAGCGTGCATTTAAAAACCCAAAAACTTTTTTCACTGTTATAGATTGAATAGCAGTTAGTTGTCTCAAAGCGGGTGTGTCAGGCTCACAGTGGATACTGTGCCCAGTGCCACCACTCACTTACTGGTGTCACAATAGCTTGCATTTAAAAACAAAAAACTTTTTCACTGTTATAGATTGAATAGCAGTTAGTTGTCTCAAAGCGGGTGTGTCAGCCCTACAGCGTGTACTCTGCCAGTTCACGGTGCCACTCATATCTGGTGTCACAATAGCTTGCATTTAAAAACAAAAAACTTTTTTCACTGTTATAGATTGAATAGCAGTTAGTTGTCTTCAAGCGGGTGTGTAAGCCCTACAGTGTGTACTCTGCCAGTTTACAGTGTCACTCATATCTGGTGTCATAATAGCTTGCATTTAAAAACAAAAAACTTTTTTCACTGTTATAGATTGAATAGCAGTTAGTTGTCTTAAAGCGGGTGTGTCAGGCTCACAGTGGATACTGTGCCCAGTGCCACCACTCACTCACTGGTACCCGGACAAAATTTATTTTCACAAAAGGCAATCCCCAACCTGTACTCGATTGTGCAAAAGGAAATAATGGCATGTCTGGCACACAGTGTTGGGGCAAGGGTCCATCTGACCACTGATACCTGGTCTGCAAAGCATTGTCAGGGCAGGTATATCACCTATACTGCGCATTGGGCAAACCTGCTGACTGCTGCCAAGCATGGAATGCGTGGCTCTGCAGAGGAGTTGGTGACACTGCCACGACTTGCAGGCAGGCCTGCTGCCACCTCCTCTACTCCTCCTACTCCATCCTCTTCCATAACCTCCTCGGCTGAGTCCTCTTCTGCTGCTGCGTCTTGCTCCACATCAATGGATAAGGGACGTAACAGGGATTAAACTGATAAGAATAGTACTACTTAACACACCACTCCTATCTGGTGGCACATTAGATTGCACGCGCAGTGCCCCAAATTTGTTGTGATCTGCGAGTAAGGTAAACGGTTGTCCATACAAGGAAGGTTGCAGCTTTTTGAGGGCCCACACCACCGCCAGGCACTCCTTTTCAATGGCAGTGTATCTACTTCCCTGGGCAAAAGTTTCCGGCTTAGATAAGCCCCGGGTTGCTCGCCGCCATCTGCTCCGACTTGGCTCAGTACTGCTCCCAATCCAAACATAGAAGCATCTGTATGGACGAGAAAGCATTTAGTTGGATCAGGAGCAGAAAGTACAAGTGATTTAATGAGCGCAGTCTTGAGCTGTTGGAAGGCCTGTTCACACTCTGGGGCCCATACTACTATCTTAGGGAGGTTTTTACGCGTTCCTATATGACACTTACTGGGCTTTAGGGTTAGTCCGGCCTCCCTAATCCGGTCTAGTACGGCTCCTATCTATGTCCATCTAGGTGTTAGCCGGGGCATTCTTCATCCCGAATGGCATGACCTTAAACTGATACAGGCCAAACGAGGTGACAAATGCCGACTTGTGGATGGCGTCCTCGGCTAATGGAATTTGCCAGTACCCCTTGCACAGATCTATTGTGGTGAGATACTGGCCTCTGGCCATTTTGTCTAGGAGCTCATCTATCCAGGGCATAGGGTAGGCGTCTGAGGTTGTTTTATCATTTAGCCTCCGGTAGTGCCGCCCTGTTTCGGTACTAGTACTACCGGGGAGGCCCAGGGGCTGTCAGAGTGTTCTATCACCCCTAACTACATCATTTCCTCAATTTCTTTCCGCATATTTTCTTTAACTGCTTCGGGTATGCGATAGGCGGTTTGGCGAAGGGGGGTCTGGTCTAGGGTTTCAACTTTGTGAGTGGTTAACGGACTGTACCCAGGTAGGTTGGAAAACGTGGCCCCCTTGTCCTGGATTAGTCTTTGGACCTGGGTTCGCTCCTGGGGGTCTAACCGTTCTCCTAACTGTACTTCTCCCAGGTCTCCGCTCTGGCCCTCTAGGTCTAGGAGATCTGGGAGTGGCAAATTATCATAATCTTCAGTGGTAGGTGCACAGATCGTGGTTACCTCTTCCGTGCGCTCGTGGTATGGCTTGAGCATGTTCACATGGAGCATGCGCTTGCCTCCCGTGCCTGTGACTGCACCGATCACAAAGGTGGTTACCACCTTGTATGAGCCCTGCCAGGAAGCCTGCAGCTTGTCCTTGTGGACAGTGTCAATCCATATCTGCCAAGTGACCCTATGTAGGGGGAACAGTCTCTATTCTGCTCTGTGTCAGTGTGTATCATGGTCTCTGAGGACAGGTGTCAATCCATATCTGCCAATTGACCCTATGTAGGAGGAACAGTCTCTATTCTGCTCTGTGTCAGTGTGTATCATGGTCTCTGAGGACAGGTGTCAATCCATATCTGCCAAGTGACCCTATGTAGGAGGAACAGTCCCTATTCTGCTCTGTGTCAGTGTGTATCAGGGATCCTTAGGACAGGTGTCAATCCATATCTGCCAAGTGACCCTATGTAGGGGGAACAGTCTCTATTCTGCTCTGTGTCAGTGTGTATCAGGGCTCTGAGGACAGGTGTCAATCCATATCTGCCAAGTGACCCTATGTAGGGGGAACAGTCTCTATTCTGCTCTGTGTCAGTGTGTATCATGGTCTCTGAAGACAGGTGTCAATCCATATCTGCCAAGCCAAGTGACCCTATGTAGGGGGAACAGTCTCTATTCTGCTCTCTGTCAGTGTGTATCATGGTCTCTGAGGACAGGTGTCAATCCATATCTGCCAAGTGACCCTATGTAGGGGAACAGTCTCTATTCTGCTCTGTGTCAGTGTGTATCATGATCTCTGAGGACAGGTGTCAATCCATATCTGCCAAATGAGCCTATGTAGGGGAACAGTCTCTATTCTGCTCTGTGTCAGTGTGTATCATGGTCTCTGAGGACAGGTGTCAATCCATATCTGCACATTTGCGGAATTTCGTGTTCGCCGTTCGCGAACCGAAAATTTCGGGTTCGCGACATCACTAATTGTAATATAGAGAGCATGACGGACGGTGTAACAGACAAATTGTAATATAGAGAGCATGATGGTGTAACAGACACATTGTAATATAGAGAGCATTACAGAGTAACAGACACATTGTAATATAGCGAGCATGACGGTGTAACAGACACATTGTAATATAGAGAGCATTACAGAGTAACAGACACATTGTAATATAGAGAGCATGACGGTGTAACAGACACATTTAGCTCATTTCCTGCATTATTTTATCAGTAGTTATCATGTATGATGTATTTTCCCTCAGTTCACGATATTGTGTTATTTTTTATTATCTCCCACCTCTGACTAAAGAATTTGCCATGCATTCACTACTTGCCAGCTGTGCACAATTCTCTGCCACCGAATACTACACCTTTATTAATGTCACCTCATCAAATTCAAACCAACAAACAATGCTCTCTCCATCATTTGTCTGCAGAATTAAATCAATTAATCAATCAATCAATCAATCACAGTGTGTTTTCTGAACTCTCTCTTCTCCTGGTCCAGAAAGTCCCATAATGCTTCAGTAGGTTCTAATCATCAGATCTCCAGCCCATCATTCCCAAATGAACTTTTCTCTACAGCAAACAACACAATTTACACGTTAAAACTCATTCAGTGACTGTAACACATTTGGAGTTTGTGAAACGACTGCCATTTTTCGGACCCATTTCTAAATCTCCCCAGATTGAGCATAGAGCCTCCTCACCTCTTCCTTTTCTTCAGTCACTCAACACAGGAACACTATGGTTCATAGACTGTGTACCATCCATTGGGCTAATTGCTGCCACCCAGAAGTACTGGGAGTTTGAGTGCAGGGCTTCATTATTTGTGCGTGAGATGTTATACCATGTTGCCATGGTAGCACGGTACAGTCAGTATGCTCTGTACTTTGTTGCCATCGAATCACTGTACAGTCAGTATGCTCTATATTAGTGGTGTCCAAACTTTTTCTGCAGTGGGCCACCTCATCAGAAATCCTTCCCTCTAATCATTGAGTACGACGTCACACATTGACTTCACGCACTGGGTAGAGGAGCAATTTTGCGCACTACACTATCTGAGGAGCTCTGTGTCCCCGACTCTGCTTCAAGTTTAACTGACATGTGCAGGACTGGTGCAAGGAGTTTTTGCTATATCCCCCTACCCCTCCCCCTTCCTGTTTCTCCTCGCAAAAATGCATTTTCACCTGTGTGTCCCTTAATCCTCAACTTGAATTTCTTGCCCCCTTTAGTGTTTCTTATCCTCTCTTACCCGCTTTATTGTATCTTATCCCATTATTTGTGTCTCTTTCCACCACAGCTCAATTGTTTGTACCTTTCTCACTCAGCTCATTTGTGTGTATCATTCTCCCTTTCCCAACATCTCTCTGTGTCTCTTCTCTATCCCAGCCCCTTTGTTTGTCTCTTTATCCCCACCCCATCCTTTTTTTGTGCTTCTTCCTCCAGAGCCCCATTTGGGGTCTTTCCTTACCCCTTCTATACCTCTTTTATGCCCCAGCCACTTGTGTGTGTTTTCGCTGTGTTTTTTGTCTCTCCCAGCCCCATTTGTGAGTCTCTCTTTTTTTCCTCCAGCCCCTTCTGTGTCTTTCTCCCCAAGCCCCCTTTGTGTCTCCCCCAGGTGTCTCCCCCAGGTCCTGTCTGTCTCTTTTACCCCTTCACTAGCCCCATTTGTTTCTTTTGACTCTTCCCTAACCAACACTGTGTCAATTTGTCCACCCAGCCCCTCTGTATGTCTCTTTTCCCACCCAGATCCTTTTGTGCATCTCTGCACCCTTTTGCACCAACTCTGTTTGCCTTTTCTCATGCACATGTCTATTTGACTGGTAATATGGGAGCACACAGCACTTCCCTCCTGTCACTCAGTCATTGTAGAGTGGCCAAGTGGCAGACCAAGTTTAATAAGCTTTTGTTTGCTGTACCTGACCTGACAGGAAGCTGTTCAGTGCTCTCTGTGAGCACTTCCTGTTAGACCTGAAAGAAGATGCAGAAGCTTCTTTACTTTGGTCTGCCATTTGACCACGCTAAAATTACTGACTGGATGGAGGTAAGTGCTGTGCGCTCCCATATTGCCAGCTAAATTAGCATTGTACATATGTAGTCAGCAGATGATTACACTTCTGCAACTTAATGTCCAGTGGGTCGCATTTGGCCTGCGGGCCTCATTCCTGGTAGGACGTGTAAACCACCTATTGTCTTTAACATGATCAGACTGGGCAGTGAGTCACTTGATAACCAGTGATCCTTGTTAGTAAATAATGTCTGAGATTTTTTTTAAACCCTATTACAGAGCCAGTCCCAAGCTGAATCTTAGCAGAGAAACTCTTATTATTATAGTGTCTATGAGCTAAGATAAGATGTTCACATAGAGAAGAGACAGGTAAATCTAAAAAAGATTCTATAAATAAGAATGATTACAATGGTAAGATGGGCTGTGTCTCTGATCTAATGTTTATATGTTTTCCATGACTTAACTCTATATTTGACATGTTTTAATCCAATGTGCATTCTATAACAGGATGGAGATCTTTCTGTATTTCATCTCAGCTTTTAACCTGCATGTCTTCCTTCTACCTGTCTGGAGCGGTGATGGAGTCCATGGGTCAGCTCCAGATGGACTTATGAACTGTGAACTGGCCAATGAACAGAGTGTTGGCTATATTGTGTCAGGGGACATCACTCTGGGTGGTATATTTGCTCTCCACTTGGATGTGCAATATCCAGAACTACATTTCCAGAGAAAACCAGAGCCATTAAGGTGTAACACGTAAGTCTGCATAACCAACTGAATTTCACTTTATTAAAAGAAACAAATGGCAATAATTTGTATTTGATTTTTTTCTGTATTTGTACACAGTTATGCTCAAAGGTTTGCATACCCTTGGAGAATTGGTATATATGAACCATTTTTAAAGAAAACATGAGTGAGCAGGCAAAACACATTGCTTTTATTTCGTATGGGATTCATTTTCATCTGTAGGTTATAACAGAATGGCACAATCATAAAACAAAACATGGCAAAAAGAAAAAAATTAAGTGACCCCTGTTCAAAAGTCTGCCCCCTTTAGCATCAATGACAGCGTGCAGTCTTTTGAATTAGTTGTCTATGAGGCACCTAATTCTTGCAGGTGGTATAGCTGCCCATTCGTCTTTGCAAAATGCCTCCAGGTCATGCAATGTCTTTGGTCGTCTTACAAGAACAGCATGGTTGACATCTACCTAGAGTGGCTTGATGATATTAAGGTCAGGAGACTGTGATGGTCACTCCAGAACCTCTGCCTTTTTCTGATGTAACCACTGGAGGGTCAACTTGACCTTGTGCTCAGGGTCATTATCATGCTGAAAAGTCCAAGATCGTCCCGTGCACAGCCTTCATGCAGAAGAATGTAAATTATTTTCCAGTACTTTCTGATAACATGCTGCATTTTTTCTTGCCATCAACTTTCACAAGATTCCCCATGCCTTTAGAGCTCACCCCCCAAAACATCAGTGAGCCACCACCATGCTTCACAGTGGGGATGGTATTCTGTTCACTATAGGCCTTGTTGATCCCTCTCCAAGCATAACGCTTATGGTTGTAACCATAAAGCTCTATCTTGGTCTCGTCACTTCAAATTAGAGTGTTCAGAAACTAAAGGTGTGTGAAGGTTTTGTCAGGCATATTGTAATTGGCTTTTTTGTGAAGGTTTCTTTCTGTCAACCCGACCATGCAGCTAATTTTTGTTCCAGTATCGTCGTATTGTGCTCTTTATAACAACCACACCTTGTTATTCCAAAGCAGCCTGT